AAATGTTAATAATATTAATGTTTTCCTCTCTTTTTCTCTGATTCAATTTGATTCTTTTTTAGTTATCTTTTTTCTGTTTGCCACTTCATTATCATCACCAATCATAATGATAACCAAAAACCAGAAAAGGCCAACCCTGCGACAAGCTTGCCTTTGTGAAAGAGCAAGAAGCATCACTTATTTGAGCTGAAAAAAATTTTTAAATTGAATTACGTTTTTTTTTGTTTTGTTTTGATAATTTCTACTTGATGTTTGGCGAAATTTTCAATGTTTTTCTTTTCCCCAAAAACACACTTCCTTAGTTTTCAGAATGTAATTTGATTCTTGTCTTTAAAATCACTATGGAGGAAAGGAGATTTGGCGACAAATTAAGTTGTTGAACATCAAAAAATCTGTGAAAAAAAAAATTCCATATTCTTTATGCGCATCTTTCGTTGTTGATAATGTTTGAAATTGGATAGTATCATATCTTTGGTTAGTTTTCTATAGGTAGTATGTCTTTATTTTTTTCTTGTTTGACTTATTTTGATTAGGTTCTGGATGATATGATATGAAGTGCGGTTAGTTTCTGGTTGTTCGTTGTTGTACAACTTTCTCAAAAAAAAACGATGACATTTTTTTCATGCATTTCTCTCTGTTGTCGTTCGTTGTTTGTCGTTCGCTGAATGTTTTTTTTTCGGGAAAAAATTGCCCGAGAATAATTGAATTTTCGGTTGAATAGATTTTGCGATTTTGAAACAAAATAGCAACGAATTTTTTGCCAGCCAGTTTTGGAAAACAAAAATTGAATCAAATGAAAACTTTTTTATTCACAGCAGATGCATATTCTTTAAAATTGAAATGAAACCCTGTGATATATCCCTGCATCAATTGGATTGAGTTTTACGAATTTTGCTACGAAAAAGAAAGAAAGAAAATTCAATCATTTTCTGGTGCAAGGATGCTTCAGGCTTTCAACTATTTAGACTCCATCGGTTGAGAATTGGTAGAAAAAAAACACAAACTTTTTCATTCAACCAACCAACAAACAACATTTGAAGATTTTTGTTTTGGAAAAAAGTTTCAAAAAAATAAAAAATTTAAAGCTTTGCATATCATGTGTTCATCACTCGGGGTTAGTTTTTCTTCTTCATCTTAAATTAAATTATTTTATCTCTTTTCTCGTCGTCGACGAAGATGCTGTTGGTGATAAAGAGAGAGAAACACACACATCTGTGGTTTGTGGCTGGATATTCTGGTTGAATATTCTGTGTGTGTGTTTGAGTGGTTTTTTTTCACTGCCAAAAAAAAACACGAAATGTATTTTAATGTGTTTTATGTTTATTTTCAAAATAAATCTCGTTATGATGATTTGATCGAAAGAAAATCTAGATGAAATTCCTGTATATTTTTTTTCTCAACAACCCGTGGAACATAACACAGTGTTAATAATAATAGAAACGTGACCTAAACCCATGAATGGATGTAATTTTTGTTGGGGAAAAAAATTTTCTTTCCCCCCCTGTATGGATGATGAATAAAGCTAATGTTCATCATATTGATAAAATGCCAAAGGGTATCATCAAATTGAATAGTTTTTTGGTAACACACTTGAACATTTGTAAAACACATTCAGAAAACCTGGGGGAAAAAACTTTAAAAAATTCATATTTCAGATGGGGGAAAAAAGAAAAACATAGCATATTTTGCTTTGGGATCCACACAAACAAGATGTTTGTGTGACGGAAAAAAAGTTTCGATTCCAAGAATTCATGAGTGTTTTTCCAGGAATTTTTTTCGTTTGTTTGTTTCAAACTTACAAACATGAATAAAATAGAATTGACAGATATTGATTTCCAAAAAAAACAATGGAAAAAAGATTAGTAAAATGTCCAGTACATTTAAATGATGATTTACTGTGACAACTATACAAAACATTTGAAGTTTTTTCTTCTTTGAAAAAAATGGATTTTTTTGTTCCACAAACAACAACAACTTGAATCTTTGGAGTAGAAATAGACAGACATTGTTTTCTTTTTGTTTTTTTGCATATCATTTCGATGAAATAAAAGATGACATTCAAAAGATTAACTCTCTATAGACATTATCTCAATGTTTTTTTCTACTATTTCCACACAACCAACAACAAAAGAAAAGATAATAGATTTGACATGAAAATAAAATAAATAGATTAACTTTCTGTATGATTATTATCATAACCACACAATTTCTATTTCTACCCTTCCTGCTTCTTCTCCTCCTTTTCTATCATCATTATCATTATCACAAACAAAAGTGAAAAACAACAACCGACGATGAAACAAAAAACAAAACAGAATTTCCCGGTTATTTTCACCACTTTATATAAACACACTTTGATTCACACTATGGTACTAATTTTTCATCACCATAATCATCATCATCATTGACTTTCAATAAATTTTTTTCTCTTGTTTCTATTTCGACATAAATCGAGCATTACAGTGTGTGTGTGTAAATGGATTGAACGTCGTTGAAATAGACTTGAAATATTCGTTGAAAGAATAATAAATTATGCAATATTAATAATGGCTGATTGTTGTTGTTGTTGTATGAAAAAAGGCGGTATAAACCAAAATGAATGGGCTTTTTGTTTTTTTTCGTTTTGCTTTTTGGGTGAAAATAGGAAACTTTTTTTTCTGGAATAAGAAAAGTGGACCGGAAAGTTTTTTTTCTTGGTGATCAAAATGATCGACTTGAGACATACACTCGAAGAAGAAAGAAAGAAAAAAGAATTTTCACAATCATTATATTCATTTCCGTCATAACTTGATTTACTTACTTACTTTGCTTACTTTCAATCATCATTATTATGAATGTTTTGGAAAAACAAAAAAAGGAAAAATTCAATTAGAGATTATCATTTTTGATGATGATGATCAATTCATAAATGACATGATGGAAGTAAAAAAACATTCGAATTCGAATTTCGAATTTTCGAATTCGAATGTTTTTGATGATGTTCGAAACTATTTTAACAGCAAATGTATCCAAATAGTGGAAACAAACAAAAGTTCTTATTATTCATTGTTAATTTAAATTAACGATCAAAATGATGATGGCAATGATGTCGATAAGATCATATATCTTGATGTCCGCGAATTTCTGTCATTATTTTTTTCATGGTCATTTTTTGGTCGTTGTTGTTTGATATTTGAAATTAATCGTCATTTTCGGTCGAATGAAAGAATTCAACAATTCAAGTGTAAACAAGAGAGAGAGAGAGAGATTCGAGCAACCAACCAAACAAACATGAATTTGATTGTTCGAAATGGACACAAACAACAAACAACAACAACAACGAATCGAAACATCGTATGAAGAAAGATATCAAGGGAGAACAACAAAAAAAATGTTGTTATCACCATCATCATCATCATCAACAACATTCGATCTGTTTTTTATTGTATCACATCTTGTATCACTCTCAGAAAAAGATCTTTATCACTTTTTCTCTCTCTCTCTCTCTCTGACTTTATCTGGGCCATATTAGGCTCATTATTTTTTCATTCATTCAAACAAACAAACAAACAAACAAGCAATGAAAACAACGAAACAAAACAAACGAAACAAACATCATATAAATGATGATAATATTCTTGTGTGTGTGTGTTCTGAAGTGTTATTTATACAGGTTTTTTACTTTCAGAATTTATCTTTCGAAAAACAAAAAAAAAAATCCCTCAAACAGATCCGAATGGAATGGGCCAAGATTCTTGAGTTTTTTCTTTCTCGTTGTTGTTGTTGTTGTCCACATTAATTAATATAAATGTTTGTTTTGTTTGTTTTTTAACATTTCGTTTCCCATTTACATTTAATTTGATATTTAGAACAACAGCATAGATGGAGATAAAATGGTTAAAATGGACTGAATGAAACATTTTTGGTTACATGAACCAAAAACTGAAAATAAATAAATAATTTAATTTGAAAAAAAAGTTCATTTTGAAACAAAAATATTTCGAACCTATTAAGCTAATAATTCGGGGGGAAACAACACATGCGCATGCGCAGAAAAGAAAAATTTCATAATTTTTTGAAATTTTTCATAATTTCCGACCAATGATGATCCGGTAATTAGCTGGGTTTGTTTGTTTTGCTAAAAAATAAACCTGATTTATGCATTTATTCAAACGTAAATTATTTCTAAATGAACTCTTTCGTGTTTAACCAAACACGACTGGATCTCAAAAGAATGAAAATTTTAAATTTTTTCATGCATAAAAATATTGAAAGAGCCCTCTATGAATGTTGATTTATTCACTAATCATATTCATCTTTCTGTAGATTTTTCCCAATTAAATTCATGAATGTTGATGAATTTTTTAAAGCGATTTTTTTTTTCATTTGAAAAACACCAATCAACAACGTTGACAAATCAATCAATCAATCAATCAATTATCAGAGTAAAGAAAAAACTAAAGATCAATTTCATGGGAAAAAATCTTGACATTTTAGCCAAATAACAGTAACCCTTTTTCTTACTTTTCTGTAAAGATTTCTCAGTGACACAAAATCTTTGAGAGAAAAATCTGTTTCATATTTTCTTGAATGAAAATTTGTCGTTTTTTTTTTGTTTTTTTGTTTCCTTGATGATCGCTTAATATCCAAATAATAATTTTCTTACACAAACGACAGCTTGTTTGATTATCTGAATGATAATATAGTCGATGTGTGTGTGTTTGTTGTCAATTTGTTGTTAGTTAATTTGCTGTGTGTGTGTGTGTGTTTGTGAAAAACTCTAAATATAAAAACAACGGATACCAGTGAATGACTTTTTAAATAGGATTGATTGATTTTCGTTCGTTCGATCGATAATGACAAAATTTCTTTTACCAAAACGAGTTTTTCATTGACAAAAACTGAAGAAAAAATTCAGTTAGGAATCGTTTTGTCTTTTTCGTAACTCTTTTTTTTTTAAATTTAAATTTTAAATTTTTCGGTTGTTTTTTTTTGTTTTTTTTCATTCAAAAATCACTTACTATAAGGACGATCTTTATTGGTTGTAATGGCTGCCGATACTATCGATATTGTTGACAATACAATCGATAATATCGATAATGATAATGATGTTGTTGTTGTTGTTGATAATAATAATGATGATGATAATGATAATAATTGTTGTTGTTGTTGTTGTTGATTTGTTGTTGTTGTTGTCGATATTATCATCATCGACAACAACAACAACAATAATAGAATTGGTAGATAATAATTTAAAATTTTTGAGCTAAATTTTAATAATGATAGTGATGGTCGTATTTGAAATTTTTCATATCGATTGTATCGATGTTGTTGATTATTATTGGCCATTTTCATAGGAAATGGCCATAAAATATGTGTAATTAACATTGTAATTTGATTATTTTTTTCCCCTTTTTGATTCAATTACAAATTTTCACTTATTTTCTCAACACATTATTCAACACTGGTGATACCAAAACGGAAAAATTACACCGAACAGAAAAACAAATGATGCAAAAAACACTTTTTTTTCGAATAATAAAAGTTATCAACAGCAAACAACAACACTATACACACGACAATCGATAATCGATTTTCATCTATAGATCGATTATGGATGATTATCAAGGACACAAAAAGAATTTAAAAAGTAACAAACAAAAAAATTTGTTGGCGGTGGTGGTCCATTCACTAATTTTTTTTTCTCATTTAACAAATTCTGTTATTATTAGGGTCGTTGTTCTTGTGTTCTTGTTGAATCGATTAAGTGAAAAAAACCTTTGAAAACAATCAAACAATGTCGTCGGCTGGTTCGCTGGTTGGTGTGTTTGCGTGATATATATGATAAATGAAAAATGACAGACAGACACCAAAAGCAGGAAAATACCAAGAAAGACAAAGAAGACACCAAAGAAATTTTGTCGGCCAAACTAAAATTGATGATCATTGAAATTGAATTTTTCTAGAGAGAAAAGATCAATGTATCAAACAACGATGATGACAATATTCATTATAATAATCGAATCACATCACGTGATAATTCTGACTTACACAAACAATAAACTAATTGAACTTTCCAACATTGACCAAAAAACAACCACCATAATGAAGAAATTAAAATATTTCGAGAAAAAAAACCCCGGAATTGTAATTTGTAGTTGATAATGATGGAAACTTCCCGGTAACAATTTTTTTTCACTTTTTTTCCGTTTGTTCACAAGAATCATTCACCAAGAATGACTAAAACTGAACTGAAACACACACACACAGGAATCTCTCATTCTTTCGAATGAAGCCAATATTTTTTGGAAAACACAGTGAAAAAAAGAAAACTGCGCGTTTTGATGGAATCATCATTTGCTGCTGCTGCTGCTGCTATTCCGAATAACGAACGAACGACAACATTGCCTTTGTTTTGGTTGTTGTTGTTGGAACTGAAACTGGAACCCAAAAAACGAATTGACGATGTTGTCGTTGAATTACACATAGCACCGACATTGATGATATATAACAGAAGGCAAAGGCGTTTGTAAAACTGAAATTCTGTATTCCTCTTGGTTGAAAGGCGTCGAAATAAATACTTTTTTTTAGGTTTTCGAAAAAAAGATTCTTTTAAGAAATTCTTTGATGAAAATTTCATCTGAAAAAAAATCATTGATCAATTTTTTTCATCAACAAAAAAAACAAAGATTTCTTGGGAAATTTCTTGCGAAACTTCATGTTTTCTTTTGGTTCTCCATTCATAAATTCCATTGAAACGTAATGAGCAAAATATATTCTCTCCACCAGCTCTTCATTACATTTTCTATGATTATTCAATTAGCAATTTACTTTAATGTGATCTTTATTATTTTGGTTTTTCTTCTTTCTCCACTTGTAAATTACCCAAATAAAGAGCGAAACAAAGCATCCATTTCAACTTCTCAGAAGAAAAGAAGAAAAATCCATATCTTCGCTTATCTTGCCTATCATCATCGTAGTCGTCGTCGTTATTGAATTACATATTGTGTGAAAATAGCGAAGAAGAAAAAACATCTTGAATGAAAACAACAAAAAAAAAAGAAGGAATTTCTTGGCTTTTCATGGCTATTTTTACCCATCTGGCCAGTATGAAAATGAAATAAACTTTTTTTCTCTGGCTAACAAAATCATCAAATCAAATATCATCATCATCGATTGATTGATTTTATTTCGAAAGATTCAGTTTTGTTCGTTTACGATCATTTAATCTCTGCTTTTTTTTTGGTGTTTGATATGATTATCCTTCATTTCATCGATGCCAATAAATTTTCGAAAGCCTTCGAGGGTCTACACAACGAAAAAAAATCCACCATATCTATCATCAATTTTCATATTTTTTGGCTATTTTGATTCACCTGGTGCCTGAATCGTTTATGAATTATAAATGAATCCAGAATCTTTCATTTCATTACATTTTCAGTTATGCAAAATAGCTTTTAGTTAATTTTCTTAAGAAAAAAAAACAACATTACTTATATCCCACCGCTGACAAAGAACATAACTGACTTTTTCTGTGTGTTGAAAAAAAAGTGTCAAGATGAATGTTTGTTTTCTCCAGTTGTGTAAACACACACTTGAATATCGACATTGAAAAATTGTATCAAAAAAAACAACAAACATTTGTTGTTGTTGTTGTTACTGCTTTTCAACAACAACAACAATTTTTCTTCTGTCTACAAAATTTTTCTAACACCTCTATACCCTCTCTCTCTCTCTCTCTAACTTTAATTCTGGTTCAATTTCGAATGAAAAGAAAAGATTTTCCGAACCGACCGATAAAAGAAAATCAGATTTATTTTCATTCATTCAAATAAATCATGAATGAAAAATAAACCGATGAACGAACGAAAAAATCGAAGGAAAAAAAATAATTCTTGTATAGAATCTGATTTTGTTTTCCTTCTTCCTTCCCTCTCTCTCTCTCTCTCTCTCTCTCTCTCTCTCTCTTAATATATATTTTCTATTCAACCATTCGACAGAGGCCCCAAAATGAAATAAATAAATCGATTTTTGGTTGGCTTGCTGGCTGGCTGGTTGGTGGATAGGAATTAACAGTGAGAAGAAGAAAAAGAAGTGTTATGTTTGTTTTTTAGCCTGGCGCCCCAAAAGAATAAGGAAAGAAAAAAAACTAAACCTGAAAAGTGTGAAAAAAAAAGAATCACTTGTGTTCAAGTGTTAAGGCACCAAATTCTTGGTGACCGAAAATTGAACAAATTTTTGTTCTTCTTCTACATTCATTCTCTGTTTGGTCGTGTATCAATAGCCCCCGCTTGCTATTTAATGATGTTTTCATTTTTTATTTTCGGTCTGTCTTGATGTCATTTTCAACAACTAATTCCATTGTGTGTGTGTGTGTAAAACATGGGAATTTTTCTCCTTATTGGTGACATAAATTGAACTAACTCACGCTATCTGTTTAAAATATTGTAAGCCGGAGAACAGAAAAAAAGACTTTTTTTTTGGTTTGAAACAAATTTGTTTTTTCTTGCTTCGGTCTTAATCGTCTGGGAAGTCAGAATTGAAACAAAAATTTTTCAAAATTTTTTGGATCTTGTTAATAATTTCAAAGAATCGATAGTATCGATGCGCCAAGTATCGATAGTATCGTAATGTACAGAGAAAAACATAATTATCACGTGATTCCGGTGAATCCAGTGAATCACAGAGAATCCTGAATCCAGTGAATTGAAAAAAACCTAAAAATAGAAATTCTAATAATGTGTGTATGCATGACACCATGTAGTGAAAAGGAAACACAACAGAATTTCATTTGATGATAATAAAAGTTTGTTTTTTTTTGGTTCTGTCTACCAAAAGAATATTCTTCCATTATGAATAACCGAAAAAACGGACATGAATCATCATCACTAATCACAAATTGGTTGGGGTTTCCAATTGAAAATAGCAAAAAAATGAATAACGATAACACCGACCGACCGAGAGAGACAAAGCATATATCAAATGAATGTCACACAGGGTTGAACAAATGAAATTGAATGAAAATGAAATAAATCGGAAACTTTCTATTCTCTCTCTCTCGGACCGTATTACCGTGTTGTTGTTGTTGGTTATTATTGTTGTTGTTGTTGTTATTTGAACAACAACAACAACAACAACCAGAAAGTTTCACAAAAAAAAAACATGGGATATTAGTCGACAAAAGATAAATGTCTCACTAAATAAATATCTATGTTTTTTTTTTGTTCAAAAAAACTAGGAAGGGAATTTTTTGTTTTTTTCATCCAATTTGCATTTTTTTCTCCCCTTTGTTGTTATTCAGTGTTATTCATTGTCACAGGGGTTTGAATAAATGGAGAGAACGAAAACAAAGCAAAAAATCTAATCTCTGGTCTGTGAAATGGCCTATACGCTACGGATGGTTGAATGAATGAATGAATGTTTGGAAAATTTGAAAGAAAGAAAAAAAAAATTCAAAGTTTGCATTCAATTTTTGGAAAAAAAACCAAAATTTAAAATTGAAAAAACAACAACCAACAAAAACAGCCAAATTTTGATCCCAAAATCGATTTTTGGTTGTTTTGTTTTTTCCACATTCATTCATTTAACCAATTTGTAATAAAAATTTGATTTTTCAGTTTTGATTTTTTCAAGTTTTTTCCGAGTTTTTCCAAGTTTTTTCAAGTTTTTCTTTTCCAATGAATATTTCAAATCAATTAATCTCGTAATCGAAATCTTGTAATAATAACAGAATAACAAAACCACAGAATCGGTAAATATTATAATTTGAAAACAACGGGAATTATAATAAACAACGGGAACGAAAACTAAATTGAAACAAAATGAAATTACACAACAGCCCGACCACCATCTTATTCTCATTGCCTTTCTCTCCTCTATCTCTTCTATATTCCATTTATAATGGAATTTTTAGAATTGATTCTTTACATTTCTCCAAAGGCTATCAATTCAATTCGTTTTTGTTTTTATCTTCTATTTCTTCACTTTCAATTTGGCTGTTCACTTTCAAATGAAAATGAAAACGAAACGAAACACATTTCGAATCGAATGAAAATTGATCATCATTTTGTTTGTTTGTTTGTTTGTTTGTTTGGTCGGTGTGTTATTCGGATGAAAATCGAAAATTGAAATTGAAAAAATCAACAAAAAAAAAAAACAGCCAGCCAGCCAGATAGCATCAGTTTGGTAATACCCATCTTT